GTGATATGATACTCTCTCCAAATGCAGGGCAGTGACAGGAAGCCACAGCTGCCAGGTAGCCCACAATCATGAGTCTACCACGTGCTGTGTTATTAAGATATGAAGTTTGATAGGTTGGTTGTACCAAAGCACTTTCAAGCTTACAGGATTTTCAACTTAAAATGGATTTATCAGACTGTAACCCCATCACAAGTTCACAAACGTCTGTATTAGGGTCCTCTAGAGAAATACTAGGACATAATATCAAAATATATCCCTCCTACACATACACATAAAAAAGCTTATTATAAGGAATTGTTTCATGTGATTACGGAGACTAAAGTTATGAATTCCACAGGTGGGATGGCAGGCTGGAGATTCAGGATGACTCCAAGGCTGCAGTTCCACCATGAAGGCTGGCAGGCTAGAGATCCAGGAAAGGTGACATTCCAGTCTGAGTCTGAAACAGGACTTGCTGTAGAGCCAGGAAGTCCCAATAATATAAATGAAGTCTGAAGGTGGTATTGGAGAATTCTTTCTTGTTTGAGAAGGCTAGTCTTTTTCTTCTAACTCAGGCTTTCAATTGGATTGGATGAAGCCCACCTACATTATGGAGGACAGTCTACCTTCCTCGGAAGTCCATCAATTGATATGTTACTCTCACCCAAAACAACCTCACAGAAACGTCCAGAACATTAGTTTTGACCAAGTCTCTGAGGACGCCGTTGGACCAGCCAAGTTGACACACAAAATTATCACACTCCTTGTCAATTGGCACCCACATACATTTCCTTTAAACTATACTTAATCTGCTCATTTCTCCTGAGCAGAGTAAACAACCGAAGTACTGCCCCTGCAAAACTGTTGTAAACCAGGCCTGTATTTTCTCTTCCTGTCAGCTTATCATAAAAATCTCCCCATAAGACCAGGCTTGCAGGCTGAGAGAAGGAAAAGGCAGTGTACTGTAGCAGGAGTAAGGATCACTGACATTTGGGCCACTTCATGTAACTTTGCCTGCAGAGCCTGCTTGGCCTGATCTCCTGTATACTGCTCCCATTTGCTGACAGAATGCACCTATGCATGCCAAACAGTGTTTGATCAAATATCTGGGCACCCTAGATGCAAAAAAGTAATATGGTAATACACGAGTGAGTATGTGTGTCTGAGTGTATAATTAAAAGAAAAAAATGGAATTTTAAAAATTAAATAATTATGAAAATGTTCTTTAGATTATGAATAATCAAAAGTTTTATGCATGAGAGTTGTCTATTGTTTTTCAACTTTTAATTTTAAAAACATCAGAAATTTAAAAAATCAACCAATGTGTAATTGTGTTTAGAGGCACAAAATATCTGTGAGATTTTTTAAATGGCAACATAATTGTGCAGATATCCTTGTCATAAACTCAGAAGCATTCATTGTTTAACTTGGTTTCAGGGGTATGAAATACAAAATGAGGGGGAAGAAGGGGGCTAGCAGTGTACATGCTCTCTAATGGTTTAAGTCCCTCTGGAGTATTCCTTGGCTTTTTTCTTCTAAATCACAGAACAGGGGCTGAAGCATGGTTGTGGTTGAGAAAACACATTAAAACTGAAGTAGGAGAGGAAGTAGGGGACAAGAAATGATGAAACTCGTTTCTTGGGTCCTGAGTATTCACAGCATTAGATTATATAATTCACTGACTTAAAATTAACATTTTTAAAAAGTAGAATTATTCTTTAAAATCGAATTGGCAGTACCCCATGAAAGTTTAGAGCTGTTAAGTACAAATCATTACAAATTGATATGCGATCCAAGGCTGCCACATCTAAGTGCCAACAGAAACCAAACTGGCACTATTAGCAGCATGCAGTCTGGAAAACAGAAAAAGGGAAGGGTGTTGATAAAATGCTTTCTCACAATACAATTAAGTGCAGAGGTGACAACAGAATTGCAGGGGGAAAATGAGGTTATGACTTAGCAGGAACAAAGAGCTGCTGTATTTTGTTACATCAAATTGAAATCTGATCCTTGAGACAATTACTTTGGACTATTAAAAACTATTCTGTATCTTGCATGAAAAGTGTAATTCAAAATACATCGACAAACAAAAATAATTTGGTAGAACTTTGGAAGGTGGTAGATATGACTTGCTACATGGCTGAAATTTTTATCATTCACAAGTTATCTAATTTTACTTGCCAAAAAAACCTGAAGCGTGGCTTCTATTGTAAATGAAAGCATAACTTAAGAAGGAAGGCTGGCTGAGGGTCAACAGGCAGACCTGTTCTTTATATATCTAGACCCATGTTCTAGGCATGATTACCTTTAACTTACATATCAGATAGGTAATGATTTATAAATATTAAGGGACCTTGCTTTTGAAAATAGGACTTTCAAAAACCTCTTCCACACTACCCTTTTGATTTGCTATGTTCCTTCCTAAATTATCTCTTTCTTCACATTTTTATGAATATTAGTTTAGTCATATGACATGGCCAGGAGATGAAGTATCTGAGCAGATAGTTCTCTTAAATAAAACTAAATTCTATGATACTTGCAGATTTTCAAATATTTGATTACAGCAAAATTGTTTATTGCCCACTGGCCATCTTCATTTAGGAATCCTATGCATATTTCAAATACTTTTGAGGGACTAGTACCAGGACCTTCACACTGAGCTACATCCCCAGCCCTTTTTATTTTTTACTTTGAGATTGAGTCTTCCTAAATTACCAAATTGCCCAGGCTAGGCTTGAACTTGTGATCCTCCTGTCTCAGCCACCCAGAATGGTGGGATTACAGGCGTATGCCACCATTCCCAGCTGATATATTTTTTAATTAATGAAGTTTATGTTCATCAAATCTACCCGCATATATAACCACAAAGCTGCATAAAATAACATGCTATTAAATTTCATGCCATTAAAATAAAGCCATAAAACTAGCAACATTTGAGAATAATGCATTAATAATGTATTGTGTGTTTGAAATAAAGAACAAGCTGTTTTTAGATGGCAGGCATGATGTATCAAAAATCTGTGTATTTTTATGTGTTCATAATAGAAAAGCCTTAGAAACTTTATACTGGGATTTAAAATGTTATTTTTTTCTAATGAGTAACCATCAACTTTGATAATGATGTACGTGTACATAACTATAACTAAACACTTAAATCCTTGTTGAATTTGAAAATTTCTTCTATATAATACTCATGTTTTTAAAATACTTTTATGTTTTCTACTTTATTAGCTCTAAGAGTTTCTACATACGGTAAAATTCACTCTGGGATACAGTTCTGTGAGTTATGACAAATGCATAAAGTTCACTCATAACATTTTGAAAGTTGACCTTATCCATAGTAGTTTACAACTTCACAGTCACTGAAGGATTATCACTGTGAACTCTAGTGATTTATACTACAGCTAATCATAATTTCCTAATTTAAGTAATTTCCAATGTTTTCTCTTTGAGCTCAGTATAAATAGTGAATAACACATTAAAGAATTTACTTTCTCCTCTTTTCTTACTTTCAGGTCCTTGGTGTAACCTTGATTATTTCTGGCCTTGACTGTTACATCAACCTGTGCATGGCTCTGCCATCTTCTGTCTCAGTTCCTTTCTAGTTTATCTTCCACACTGCTGCTGATCTTTCTAAGGTACAAAACTGATTATGTTAATCCTCTACTTTAAATCTTTCATGGACTCCCTACTGCCTTGAGAAGTAATACATATTTTTTCAAGCAAACAAATTCTTTCCCGAGTTGCTTTCTGCCTGATGTTTTGCTGTGCCTCCTTTCCCTTCCTTCCCATGATCTGGGGCTGGTATTAAGCACACATTCCCAGACATGCCATCTTCTCTGTCATCTTGGTGCTTCTGTATCCTTTTCCTTCTGATCTGCAGGCTTTTTTCTACTTTGTTACCTGTCAGCTGTATGACTTGCCCAAACCTTCAGATGCTCTCTCTTGCTCTTTCAGTACTCTGTTTACCTCAGTCTTCTTTAGTAGTGGACTAGGTCCCTTGCCCAAGAGTCTCCTCTGGACCTTGCAGTGCTTGAGACCAGGAAGCATGTCTGCTCTGTTCCTACCAGTGCTTGGAACACGTAAACATTCATGCGACTGGGGATGGAGCTCAGTGGTAGAGTGCTTGCCTAGCATGCAGAAAGCTCTGGGTTTGAGCCCCAGCACTATGGCATGAAAAGGGGTCAAGATGTTTACTCATTTTAATACACTGTATACTTACATGTATAGTATGATTACCATATGGAACCCATGAAATTGGTAAAGAGAAGAAAACATACTATCACAGCAAGGAACACCAGAATTCCTTCTACAGAGGGCACTGCACTGCCTCTATACCAAGCTCCCTCTTTGTAAGTATGGATATTACCTGGGACTGAGAGGTCAGAAGCAGAGGAGGGAAATGAGAGGGTGGATTTGCTGGTTTTGATCCCAGCAAGAAAGGGGGAAATAACATGAGAAAAGGGATGTGAGGCCAGGGAGAGGTGAGAGAAAGCTCCCCTTCCACTGAAGGCCACATGATGGAGAAACAGATTAGGAATGCTCCTTCCTGGCCCTCTGTGGGAGCAGTTGTGCTGCCCGGTGTGCTACTCCTCTGCCTCCCTTCAGAAACCTCCACTGAAGTCTACTGTATTTTCTTTGTGTGTTTTTGTCTTTCACCGAAGTCAAACAGGAACCTAGCTTGGTGTTGTGCAAACAGATCAGTGGTGTGGCAGTTATGAGGGTTTTGGGGGTTCAGAGAAGACCAGCCCTCCTAGAAATCGAGGGGAACCTGGATGGAAGGGGAGGCTTTGGACTTGCACAGGCTATGCGTGGCACTGTGGGATTTCAGTCTACTCAGTCCACATTACAAGGGGCTGACAAGTGTACCTAACAACTAGGATAACACTCAACAAGAAGACCAAAAAAGACAGAGAAGTAAGACTAGCTAGTATTAGGAAGGTGAGGTTACAGCTGTTGTTTCCATGGAGACTCTATTATAGGTCATAATACAAGAAAGGTTTTAAAATGAGGAAAATACCTACAATACAATATAGAGAGGCTTCTCAACTTACAAAGGAGTTATATCTGGAAACACATTATAAACTGAAAAGATATACCATAAGTACCACAAGTCAGATGTGGTAGCATTTGCCTGTACCAACTACTTGGAAGACTGGCAGAAGAATCACTTGAACCTAGGAAATTCAGTGCCAGCCTGGCCAGCACAGTAAGACCCCATCTCAGCAACAACAACAAAATGAATTTAAAACACCTATTTTACTGAACATTCTAACTTGGCAACACAGCATCCCCGTAAGTGTTGGTGGTTTCCCCTGTAAACACAGGGCTGATGCTCTCAGCAGCTGTCCAGAATCATCAGCCTGGGAAAAGTGCAAATTTTAAAATTCAAAGTAAGGTTGCTTATCACTTGCACAACATCATAAAGTCAGAAAATCCAAGTCAAAACATACAGCCAAGAATCATTTGTATATTTTTATGGTGCTTTTTCCTTGAGTACAAAATCACATATTGCATTTATTTTGTCATTTCTCTTTAGTCTCGTTTCCTCTGGGAGAGTTTTCTCAATTTTTGTCTTTATGACTGACTTTTCTGAAGAACAGAGGCAATTGTTTTTGTTTGTTTAAATAAAATTTTCTGACTGAATGACATATTCTCATGATTCAGCTTATGCAAGCCCAGTACATAAGTGATGTGTGCTTCTCAGGGCATCAAAGCAGAAGTGTACAATATCATTCTGTCCTTCACTGATGCCAGTAGCTTTTTTTTTTTGGTACCGGGGATCAAACTTGGGACCTTGCACTTGCAAGGCAGGCAGCAGAACCACTGAGCTAAATCCCTGGCCTTTGATGCCAGTAGCTTTCATCACTCAGTCCAGGTGCTGCCCAGGGTCTCTACTGTACAGGTACTAATTTTCTCCTTGCAGTAAGCAACCTGTTATCCTGTTTCTTATCAAAATGTCCTAAAGAGATTTAGAATCCATTGATAATTCTTACCCGAACTAATCCTTCTATAATGGTTACAAAAGTAATTTTCCAACTCTTCTACTCTAACATCAGTCAGCACTTTACTATGGAGAAGAGCCTTCCATCTATCTATTTATCTATTATCTGACTACTCAAGGATTATTTTTTCAATGAGTTAAAATTTCTTCCTGACTTTAGTTATTCTGACATATAAATTTTTCCAGTTTTGATCAGTGAAAGAAAGCACCCTCAAGCTGGCTTTTGTGTCCTCATATATACTCCCTTCTTTTCCTTTCTTGAGCACTTATTTCATTCTTCTTATAAACATCCTTAATTCCTTTTACTGGGAAATGGTATTAGAAACTAAAACTTAAATACTAGGTTTGCTCATTGTTACCGAGGTATTTTGCCTTCTAGGCTCTTTCATGAACAGAGCAAGGAAAGGTATATTTAGATCTGCTGTACACATATTTATGTTGTACATATTTATGTTTTATACATGTGTGGTACAAGTGTTTCAAAATATTTCAAGGGCCAGGCATTCGGGATATGCCTGTAATCCCAGCACTCTAGGAATCTGAGGCAGTAGGATCACAAATTCAAGCCCAGCCTGGGCAACTTAGCAAGACCTTATCTCAGAAAGTAAAGAGAGCTGAGGATGTAGCTCAGTACAAAGGCCCTAGGATCTAATCCCCAGTACCACCAAAAAAAAAAAGCAAGCCTTATTCAGTTGGCTATACCATTTGCTTACAATTTCTTCATGCAAGAAAACATTTGAATGTGAATATATTTGACCTCACACTTGTTTATTAGTTTAAGTCATCCCAAATGAACCAATAAGCATCTGGCTACTTTACCTAGAACCAGTAAGAATATGTTAAGTATAAGAATAATGATCTAAGTAATGATGAAACCCAAATATTAGAATGTTGAGTTGATGAAATGTGAAGTATATCAGTAATGATCCTGATTTAGATGCCTACCCTGTTATACCATCACTGACCCACTTTTCATCCAACAACTTATGTGTTCAATTCTGGTGTCTTTCCAAAAAACATCAGAATGTCAGCAACTTGTGGACACTTGAGCAGTTAAGGCAGAAAAAGAAGTTGGGCACTTGAATATTTAAGTTTTATATCCCTTTTCTACTACCTTTTTATATTGGAAATAAATGCTTAAATTTGAAAATGTTTTTGTGGCTTGCATGGCTTCTGAGTTCTGCTTGATGTAACTCAAGGAACTAGATTTTTGCTGTAACTTCAGGTCAAACTGAAATTGAAAGTAAAATTGGGAACAAGCATGTACCCAATATTATGCATATTAATTTAATATAAACTACAAATACCTATGTAATTGATATAATTTAAGGTTTACATAGTGGTGTACTATCTTATCCTTGCTTTAGTTTCAGCTGTACAAATAAATATATCAAGTGCTCATCATCAGTATTTTTCCCCCAGTCTGTTTCAATGAAACTCATTCTCTAGTTTTCTAGTAGTTTCCTCAGGAAGAATACTGGGTAAGGTATTCTCTGAGTCCTAGAATAGTCAAAACTTTTCCTACAGCCTTAATCTTCAAGGCTGTATAAAATTCTTGGTTTGTACTTTTTCCCTTAAGTTTCTCAAAAAAAAAAAAAAAAAAGCACTGCTTCAGTGTTTCCTTGCTTTGCACATCACCTTTGAGAAATCTGATGTAGTTGAATAATTGATTTACATCTTTTTTCCTGAAGACCTGAAGATTTTTTAAAAACTTTAATACAAACTTTCCTCATTTAATGACTGTTCAGACGTACGACCCATCTTTTTTTTTTTTGGTACAGTTCTGTACATCTTATTGATAGAGCCTCAATCTTTTTTTTGTAAAGTATACCTTGTTTATACAGCACTGTAATTTTTGGAGTTTCCTTTGACCATTTCTTTGTTCTGAATATTGTAATGTACATACTATATATAATTCCTCATTTAGCAACCTATTTATTTAATGACCTAGTTGCAAGAATGGAACTCGAGGAATGCCTGCAACATTACTAAGTATTAGGGTAATTCTAATAATAATATTACTAGGATATGTCTCAGAATTGGTCATGGTGGCAGCTGATTACTGTATCATTATTACTATCAATTTTCCCTAGTACTCAATAAGCTAGTTCAATGTGTAGACCCAAGTCTTCTCTTTTATTTATTTATTTTTTTTTGGCACCAGGGATTGAACTCAGGACCTTGTGCTTGCAAGGCAGGCAGCGGAACCACTGAGCTAAATCCCCGGCCCTCAAGTCTTCTCTTATTCTTGGAATTACATTTCTCGAACAATTTATTTTTCTTGTTTAAGGACTCCTGTTATACATGTTACATCTGCCCTGCCTTTCTCCATTCCAACCACTTTTTCTCTGAAAAGTCATTTTTTCCATGTTTAATTTTCAAAAAATTGTTTCCCTGATTTCCTTAAATGCCCTAAATTTTTATTTGAATCCTTTCTTACCTATTCTTCCTTAGGGACCCTGTACATATAGTCATTATTTCTGATGGCTTTGTATTTTACTTTTTTCCAGAATACAATCCATTCTATTTTTTTTTTGTTCATTTCTTAGTTTTGTTTTGTTTCCCAGTACCAGGCATCGAACTCAGGACCTTGAGCTTGCAAGACAGGCACGTTGCCACTGAGCTAAATCCCGTCCCTATTTCTTAGTTTTTAATATCTGACTCAAGGTGTTATCCCCAAGACAAATACCATCTCCTAATGCTTGCCTGAAGATATTTATTCATTTTAAAGTGCTGTGTTCATTATTCTTCTGCATAATGACTAGACTTAGAGCAATATTTTGTTTTGCATTTATGTTTTATTTTTATAATAGCTTTGTATTAATTTTTTTATTTCTAAGCATCTGGTACATAAAGTACCAAGTATAAAAGATCCTTCCCTATAAAAAGTTCAGTGAGGTTTCTTTGGTTTAAGGGATGATGGGGAAGGACTCGTGTGTAACTTTTCTTGTTTTTGCAAGACCTGTAATTTTCTCCTTTTATTTCTTTCTCTTCACTGGCCACAACTCCAAGGTGCCCACTTGCCCATTTATCTACTTCTCCTCTAGAAGCAATGATGTCTGAGGCTGCCACTTCAGGTCCTGCTCACCTGTGAGCCATTCTCATTAGCTGAAGCTATCAACTAAGCAAGTCTGAAGCCAGGGTTCAGTGTTTTGGTATATACTGTTAATATTTTCTCTTTCTGAGGATGATTATTTTGCCAGTGTGTTTCATCTAAACTTTTTGGGCATCTTTCTTCTTTCTTATGTATCTCTTAAGACTCCCCTTCTGCACTCTATACCCCACAGAACTGCTGCAGCCTGAGGCCTCCTGAATTTGGTGCTGCTCTTCTTTACCTACTTACAAGTAATATGAAGTTTTCAGCACTCCCGTCAGCAACGCTGAAGATATGGGTGATGTGTGGTTTTATTTGAGCCTCTTGTTGATATTATGTTGAGGGAAGGGGAGTTGGAGTACATGGAGATTTGGAACTAGGCAACTGTCATTATCCTCCAGACCTAAAATATCTATTCTTGCTCACTATTAAAGTGTCATTTCCAAAGTTTCCAAAAAGAACAATAACAAAAATTTCAAGGAAACTGGAAGCATCCAGCTTGGCCCAGAAGTTTCTCTGAGGTGTTCCAAAGGTTTAAAACCCTCCAACCTGTCTCTGTCTGCCCCTCAATGAAAGCAGAAGTTTTCTCTTTTCTCTTAAAAAAATAGTGGACTCTTTGTAGCTCCATCATCTTAAAATTTTCTGAGGAGCTTCATATAAGACTTTCCTCATGGGAGATTTTAGCACTCAGAATCATCTAATAATAATACCATATTACCCCAAAATTTCAGTGGTTTAAAATAATAGTTTCTCTCTCATTCTACATGTTCATGTGACTTATCTAGGGACTCTGTTCCATGTCTTCTTCACAAGACCTAGAAACAGAGTCACTGTCTAGAGTATTGGGATAAAAGCTTTTAATATAGTCACAATGTCAATCTGATACACTGGCCCTGAAGCCTGACATGTAATCTCTGCTCTATTTCATTGGCCAGGACTAGTCACATGACTCCACCCCAAAATAAGTGAACTTGGGCCGAGGATTTAGCTCAGTGGTTTCACCGCCTGCTGCGCAAGCGCAAATGCAAGCACCCGAGTTCGATCCCCCGGTACCAAAAAAAAAACAAAACAAAAAGAAAAACAAAACTTTAAAATAAGTGAACTTACCTTGTACCAAAAGGAGAGCCAGAAATCCCTACCATAGATATTATATCTTTTTTTTGGTACTGGGGATCGAACTATGGTCCTTGAGCTTGCGCAGCAGGCGGTGAAACCACTGAGCTAAATCCCCGGCTCTGTATCTTAAACCTAAAATATTCCTAAATATTTCTATTAATACCAATATAGGAGTATACTGCTTAGTATATGAAATCTGTATCAACTGAGTATTAAAATCAAAGGAAACATCTTCTAATGAAATTCAAATGACATGCAGTAAAACCTGTCAGATACACGTAATATTTTAGTTGGCCAAATGATAAAAGTGAAAACTCTTCAATTAAAGTTCCCAGAGTACAAAGCAAGTTATGCCAACTTTAAATTACGGAAGATAAGTATAACATAACACTCTTAAGAAGAAAATCTGCATGATTTTTTTTAATAAAGGGAACCACTAATATAAACGTATAAGTTTGTATTTATATAACAGAGATATTTATCTGTACATGGGTTTAAATATTATTAATTACCTGTTTATTTAACACAAATACATCAGAAGTTATATCTAAAGCAAAATGCAAAGGAAGATATTTATTTAACTTTGAATTTATAATAGTTGTTAATTTGAGCTACACAACAGAAAAGGGAAAAGGCAAATTTAAAAATATCTATAATAGCTGGATAATAGTACATTGATAATCATATACAATTTTTAAAAATCAAGGATATTCATAGTGAAAGACGATTAATCAGAAAAAGTAACCCTATAAAAGAGAAATTTTAAAGAAATACTAAAATTGAACATCAAGAGACTCTTCCTGGGAAATGATGTTAAAAATTTCAATTCTGCATCCCCATTATTTGCTTTATTATTCCCTTCTAGGGCCAGGGATTCAGCTCAGTGGTTCCGCTGCTTGCCTCTCAAGCACAAGGACCTGAGTTCGATCCCTGGTACCAAAAACAAACAAACAAACAAAAAACCCCACAAATTATTCCCTTCTATTTTCTACAACTTTTTAAATGTAGATGAAAATATACTAGCTTTTAAAAAGTGATTTCCATTTTACTAAGCTGTCCTTATTTATTATACTGAAACTTGACTCTCAAAAGGGTGAGATTAAAGATACTAAAATTTCACACAGAAAAGGACAGCAAGCAGGCAATAGCTAAGCAAAGAGTATACATACATAAACATCTTAATTAAAAGGTTAAAATGCAGAGTATGCATTAAAATATTCACTTCACAAGTATTTTACAATTTCTAACTATATGTAAGCATGGCATAGAACCATAGAGAATACAGTAGTTGCTTCAAGTTGCACTGTATAAAATAGAATCCAGATTCATTTTATCTGCAATGCATTCTCGGTTGAGTTACTTAACTTCTATGTCTACATAGCACAATTATTTGTAAAATGAGACAACGGTACAGGCCTTTTAGAATTTGTTGTGAGGACAGAGTTAAAACAGTTAAAATTCTTAGGAAACTCAGTGTCTGACATAACAGATGTATGGATTAAATAAAATAATGAGTTTTCACCACTAGAATGAAGCCATATGTTTATTAAGTACACAATATATGCTACCTGTTGCTATAATTCATGGAAAGGTAGTCATTCATTGGCTTCCAGCTTCAAGACAGTAATGATTTTTTTCTGTATTCTCAAACAACAAACAAAAAACAGAAACACATTCAATAACTCATTGTGGGAAATCAGGTGTAAAACCAAAACCTGGGTTAAACTCTCCTTGAGACATGGGAGGGGAGATAACAAGCCACCACTACCACCACCACCCTCCACCTCAGGCTGTTCACTAACATGCCAGCGTTAACCAGTTTCAAAGAAAAAAACAACTACAATTTTTAAAAATACATTCAGGTATAGTCTACAAATTATAAAAACCTAAAAAAAACCTTTCCCTAAACCCTAGATCACATGCTTACTTCTTTATACAAAGCTAATAAAAGTAAAAAACATTATTAGTTCGGGGCTCTTTGTCCACTAAAGGCAAAAGTCCCCTGGTCCTCCTCTTCCAAATTATTTTTGTGTCTGTTGTCTTTTGTCCTCATTGGCTCCTCGGTCAGAGATAAGCTCACAAGCTGGTTCCTTCAACTCATGAACAAATCTATAACCCTAAGCTACAATGCATGAGGACAAACAACATTTCAAAGAAGGGTAAAGGAATAAGCAGAGGACAAAAAGGTCAACTCAAAGTGCCTGGAGAGAGAGCTGTTCTCGTAGGGAAACTCAAACAGTAGGCAGGGAACCCCAGGAAAGGGTCAGGATATGGAAGAAAGAGTAACCTTGGAGGACAGGGGACTCGGAGGAAGGAGGCAAAAAATGGCAATAGGGGAAATGTCTGAAAACCTTTTAAGGAGTTTTATTTCCCAGGTTCCTCAATACACATGATTAATAATTTTAGGAGGAAAACAATCAGATTTGGGGGTCACCAGGCATGCAGAAGAGCAAAGATGAGGTAGGAGTGAAAACACAAGTACAAATCTACCCAACCCCCGCTGGCTCCAGAAAACAGAGCCAGGCTAACGCTCCCCAAGTGTAAGTTTAGAGGACCCTTTTCTGGAGAAACAGAAAGGCGCTTAGGTAAAAGACTTCTTGATATTAACGTGTGCAGCAGTCTCCAGTGAAAAACACTAGAGAAGCCTCCAAGTATCAGGCTGCATATCCCTCACAGAACTTCTAACCAGCACTTTAGTGCCTCATTCATATTATGACGGTTGAGAAAAATCCCTAAAATGAAAGATAGTAAATAAAGCAGGGAGAAAAGGAACTCAGGAATAATCAATTCAGGGTTGAAGGAAAATAAAACTTTATGAAAAGTACAATTAATTAATATCCTCAAGGAGATATATTTCAACCATAAAATAAAACAAAACAATAAAAAAAAGAAAACAAGGAGTATGCTCTTAGAAATTATTTAAATCTGGAGTGGAAAATAAAGCCTATTAAAGGTGTGGATAAAAAAGTTAAAGAAAAAGGCCAAAAGTCAAGTAAAAATGCAAAATGAACAACAAGACAGAAAAAGAAAATTATTGAAAATTTTGTACATAACAATTTTTTAAAAAGCGAACAAAAGAACCAAGAGGAGGAAATTATCAAATATATGATTCAAAAAATACTCCCAAAACTGAAGTTTTAAAAGGCACACTCAGTGCTCAGCATAACAAATTTTAAAATATACCAAGTCATGTAAATGTGAAATTTCAAAATCCCAAACCAGGGATAATAAAAAATCCTAAAGCCTTCTTGTGATTTAAAAAACACATCACAAACAAAACAACAGAATCAGAATAGCATTCAAACTTCTCATCCCAGTTATTAGAAGCTAAAAGACAATGAAATGCTTTCAAAACCCCAACAATTTTATAAGCCAGAGTATCCTAAGTATGAAAACATAATGAAGGGCCCGGGATTTAACTCAGTGGTTCCGGTGTGTGCCTTGCAAGCGCAAGATCCCAAGTTCGATCCCTGGTACCAAAAAAATAAAATAAAATAAACAAAAAACAAAACAAAAAACCCCCATAATGTAGACAGTCTAATATTTTAAAAATCTTTTTCTTTTTTAGCACTAAGGATTGACCCCGGGGCCTCATGCATGCTTAGATAAGAGCTCAACCACTGAGCAACACACCAACCCACCTTTTCTTTAAACATTATTTTGAGATACAGTCTTGTAAAGTTGCCCAATTGACAAGTTCTCCCTTGTCTAGAGATGTTGGGAAACTAAACACTCATTTTAAGAATGTCCATATGACATCATGTGGCCAAAAACTAAACATGCAGGTAAGTCTGCTGAAGAACATTTCAAATTCTAAATACAAAGCAAATGCCTCATGAACAGAAAGTATCTTTCTCTCCCTCGTATTCCTATCTGAGTGTGAAGAGTCAATAATGAGGACAAAGAGCAAAAAAGGAGGAGCCTGGATTCTTAGGAGCATGGGATGCCTGACTTCTGACTCACTGCTATATAAGCATTTTTAAAATCCTATTTAAGCCACTGTCATTGATTGAGTTTTCTATTACTGACAGCCAAAATCATGCCGTTACTATGATAGGCACTGGGAAACAAAGATGAAGCACTAGCTCCTGCTCAAAAAGCTCATTATATACTAAAGTACAGTGCATGTAACCAACAAACTATAATATACCAAACTGAATGCACTACTGTCAAAATGGTGCT